TGATGCACCCTGGTCACTGGGAGCTCAACATCACCGAGAACCATATAGCAGATGTCATACATACAGTAAGTGAACAAGAGAGAGGGGATCCTCATAGTGCAGTTAATTTTATTTAAAAAACATAAGAAATGCAAGAAATACACTCACAAGGGAAAAGGGCTGCAAACGCCCTCAAACAGCATGGTATTTTGGAAACTAAGAAGGCAGCGATCGTGGCCACGACCGGAAATGACGTCACCACGCTACCGTCCAATGTGTTGCGTTACATGACTTCATCAGGGTGACTATATATATATATATATATATATATATATATTTTTTTTTTTTTTTTTTTTGTGTGTTGATTGCCTGAGGACGTTATATATATATTTTTTATGTTTTTATATGTATCAAGTTTATCATTAATACTTGTTAGCTCAGCACTATTTTTTTATTAGTGGTAGAACACTTTATGGGTGCTTCCTGCTTTTTTGATCTCTCTTGATTGTATTGGTAATTTTTTAGGTTTTTATTTGGTTTTGTTTGGCAGAGCATAAGACTTCTACCATTATTGTCCTATATAATCATTGCCTCTAGAACCTTGGGGGTACTTATATAGCAATATTTGTGTCTCCACCATAGGGTTGTGTGCCATCTTATTAAAATGTTTTATGGTAACTGGCCTATATGATGTACACCTTGTATTCTCACAAACATTTTTCCAAATATCAGGGTTTAAGGGGGTAAATATAGGTCTGTTTCCAGTGCCAGCACATAGTTAGAAATAGAAGATTTGGAGAACTGTATAATGTGGATATATATTTTAGGTAAAAGGTTGATAATTATGTAATTTGGATATGTTTGTATTTGCTATTGCACTAAGTAAGATTTAATGAAGGAGGGCTATTCAGAAGAGAGTTTATAAATTGTATTTTATAAATTGTAATTTATTTGTATTGTTAACTTGTCTCTAACGTAGATTAGATTAGTGATCTTTAGGTATATCGTAGCCGAATGCTAGGCTTTGGAATGTTTTACGGTAGCAAAGTAAACAGATTTTTCAACCATAAAAACAGGAGGGGGGGGAGCAGAGCAGACACTCTGGACTTTATTTATTACACACACAACAGACTAAAAAATTTTGTTACCAATTTTTATTAAATCCATAAATGTATTGCAATTAAAAACCTATTTCCTGAGAGAAAACTCCTCAGCAGCCTAGGCATGTTCTAAATGGTATCACAGGGCTCCTCATTAACCTTATGACTGTCTCTACGCGTTTCACCGGGACAAGACCTGCTTCTTCAAAAGGACTCCAAGGTTCTTAGAGTCATGGAGGCATGGGAAAACCCAGTTGTTCAGCAGGCAGTAGTTATGTACTGTATATAATGGCAAGATTGTGGAAAGTTTCTTGGGTGATTTGTTCAGCAAACCATCTAATTAAGTCAAGACATACTGAAAACTTCAAACAAACCTAGTGATGTAACCTACACCAGTGTGCACACATAATTATATAATAACAATGAAACTCACCACATCTGATGACCTCTATGATTAATATGAGCTCAATATATGCTTAAAACATGAAAATCAGGATAAACCAGGAACTCCTCGCAACTTTCACAGCTTAAAAAAACATAAGTCCATCTAATTCAAGCAATAGAAAGTAAATAAATATATTGAAAACCTCAATATACAGAACACTACACCTACAGTTGAGCCAGAGGAAGGCAATAAAAACCTTAAAGCATTGTTCAAGTTTGCTCCACCACAGGGAGAAGACTTTTTCATGATTTCCTAGGATAATCTGATATTCCCTAGGTCAACAATCTCTGCTGTTATTACTTAGAAGAGTTAATAGACAGTTAATACCAGTTATATTCTGTGCATTTATGAATGCATCCAGATCACAGTAGCCGCTTAACTGCATTAAGCTGTATTATAATATGTACGATGAATGTATGAGTGCAGTTAAATGGGAAGTTGTTATTGCTTCCATTCATATATAAGCATGATAGCAGTGTCAGCCCCTGGCCCCCAATGATGTCAGTTATGAGGAAACGTGTAGTACAGAATAGGGAGGGTTGACATTGGAAGCTGCTTTCTGGTGTTTATGTCACAGACACTGGGTTTCTACTTATGAAGTTTATTCTAATCTTGCTGTTTAGCAACTTTATTATTTCAAGAACGTAGTTTGAATTATATTTGCACTATTTGGAGACTTTTCTATTGTATGCAGGCACCTTTGGAGAAATTTAGGACCTGTATCCGTTAGCATTGTTCTCTGCTATCTCAGTGAACTACAAAACACCTCCTACTGACAAGAATGCTCAGTACAATTGTCGCCCTAGGACAGGAAGTATTTTAATGACAGGGTTATCAGGTAAACATAAAGGAAAATATTTGGAAAAAAAGAAAACTATTGTAGTCACCATATCCAGGGACCAGTAAGCTGCAATCCATTCAATTTTTGGTTTTGGGTTTAGATATGTTTTAAGCATATACTGAGCTCATATTATTAATAAAGTTCTGGTGAGTTATATGTGAGCACAGCAATGGAGGCTACATCATTCTGTCTACAAATATCACAGGGATCTTCCTTTTAATACAAGTGCTGCATATGAATAAATTTGAATAGATTGCAGCTTACTGGTCCTTGAATGTGGTGGCTGCATTATTTTTTTTTTTTCACATATGTTTTCATTTACTGAAGACTGTGTATCAACTTTGTTTTGCCAGCAGCTGATACAAATTTCTAAGTGGACGCTGAGCATGACATTTGTGTTTCTTGTTGGGGTCTGAGAATGGTAAATTAGAAAGTCAATGGTTAGTGCACGATACAAGGACCCCAAGTTATGTAAAATTTAGGTAGTGTGTCGTTTAGGGTTGCGGACATTTTCTCGATCTTCATACAAAGGTTGTTATGAGGTTTGAGTTCCTCAAATTGAATGGTTTGCTTCCTCCGGGACCTGGTGATTATCAGCTTTGCAGCAGTAAAGATAAAGATAAGGATGAGTAACTTATTTTGGTACACATACAGGGCAGCACACTGTACAAGTCAACTGGCTATCACTAGGAATCAGCTTCAGGTTAAACACCTCTCTTCCGCCATGCCCCTTTGATGGATTTCACCTCTATGGGGCTTAATTGTAGATGCATCAGAGGGGTGTACCAGAAGGGTAGGAGTTTTAAGCTGAAGCCAAATTCTACACTAATATTACCCTGTTAACACGCACAGTGTGCAGGCCTGTTACATTACTGAGTGTGGGATTGTTTTTGTTTTTTGTGCTTATCTGTGGTGCTGGTACCTGACAGCATGTATTGAGTTAGTGGGTGGTATGTACAAGGCTTAAAGCAGTGCTTTTATTTTGTTTCGGTTTTGGTACAATCTGTTGTTTTTGGTTTAAGAGAGCTTCTACTGGATTCTTCCAGAGGGGTCTATTAAAGGTGGCAGACTATCTCCTAAGTATGAAGTGCTTACTTTTTGGGTAGTCCCACCAGATATGTCTATAGATTTCCTCTGCACTTCAACCTCTAAAGTACTGGGAACGGTGGCTGGGGGGTTGCACATCGGTAGGGAACAAGGTACCAATTCATGAGCAATATGTGTTTGGTTTCTGTGGTTATGACAATAATCAAACTTTTTAAACCAAATATCTTGCCAGTCTTCTTGGGAAAAAGAGGTCACCAGTCCTTGTTCTCAGTTGATTGTGTTATTAGGCAATGAAGGGAAGCAGGAAGATAACATCAGCAGAAAAACATTGGGGAATATACCCATGGCTTGAAGGATCTCTGGTGCAAATATGTTCAAATGCAGCAGGCCGTAAAGGAGTGTAAGTGTGCTTAAGCAAGGAAGTTATGTAATTTTGTAATGTGTGCTTACTGGAAAATTACCACAGAGGCACATTACACACATTTCTGAGTGTCTATTAATTATTATGGGTGGAAAAGGAGCAATGTCCATTACCTGCAACACTTTGGAAAAGGAATACTAAATTTGGATGTAACCCTACAGATTTTCACTGTGTGAAAGACTACATACTTTTCTGTTTCGTGTGCTAATATGGAAGCTACGGGGGGACATTCAAGTCAAACCAGGACTTCTAAGTTTATATAATAAAAAAAAACTAATTTCAAGGAGTGGAAACTACATTTATTTTTCAACATACTCCCCTGCTTCATTTATACACTTATCCCAGGATTTAACTAATGCCTGGAAAGCTTTGCCACAGAAAGACTTGTCAGTACGCCTGAACCATCCTAGGACATTCGTGAAGGATTGTGTTCACCGTTACCACAGAAAGATTTGTCTCTTGTGCAATTTTACGACATGTTATGCATCAGTTATCTAGGATCAGACATTCCACACACTAAATATTCACAAGAATGACTATGGTGGGCTGAGAACCACCACAACCGGGATCATCACTGATGGACGTACAGCCATCTTTGAAACGTTTACACCATTCAAATGTCATAGTGTGACTGAGTGTCTCATCACCATACTGTGCTTGAAGTTTTCTGTAAATATCTGCAGGTTTTACCCCACACCACACGCTGTTCTGTTCCATGCATGCACTAACACTGTTGTCTGTCAACTCTGGACTGGCCTGTGACTTGTGTGCCACCTACCAGTAATAGGACACACTTGCCACTTACTACTGTGTGTAGGATCCCTTTTTATACCTATACTTTTTATAAATTTAAAAGTCCTAGTTTAATTTGAACGCCTCATGTAGATTACATTCATAAGGGAATGTTAGGTGTTATATTTTGTCACATAGATCTAGTCCTCTTAATTTTGTAGTTTCATATAGTATTGATTTTTTTGCTACGTTTTCATGTTTCGTACCCCAAATAACAGGTGCTATATCATATTGGAATCTAGCCAGATCTTTTGCCTTTAAAGCATAAATGCAAGGTCTGCTTATTAGGACTAGGTACCCTCCCCTTGTAAAATTACTACTTTTAAAGTACTTTTAAAAAATACAGTACATATAGCTAATTAGAGTTTTGTGTATATTTTCACAGTTAGAGGGATGCATCAAAGGAAAAAAACAATGTGTACCCATGGATTCATGTACAAAAGAAGAAGCTCATTGGGCTATACAAAGATGTAAAGGACTGGTTGCTGTTCATTATAAATTAAACACTGAAGGTAAGGAAAAAAAAATATCAGTGTACAATTTACATGTTTTTTTTAAGTTCTTTTCACTGAAACAAAAAAACATTCAGTATTGGACAATGTGCTCTCTACATCCCATACATAAATAGGAATTCAATATTTATTTCTATAGGCAAAAATGCTGTCATTTCTTATATTTGAATTGAGTTCACAAGACAACAAAAGATGAGTACTCATCAATTACACACTGTAAAATGAAATATTGCTATTGACGCACTTTGTATTGCAGGATACAGTAAACTAATGAAAGATCTAGAAGAAGGGAAGGTTCGATCAGGGGACTCCTTTTATATTCGCTTGAATTTAAACATTTCAAGTCATCTAGACAGCTGCTCACTTTCTGTAAACTGTGATGACATTGTACATGTTCTTGACACTATGCATCAGGGAAGGTATGAGTGGCTTTGTGCCAGAGTTGATCCATTTACTGTTCGAAACATGGATGTTGGAACAATTCCAAGCTACAGCAGGTATGTGTTTAAACAGTTGCATGATAAAAAGAAAAGTATAAGTAGTTGTAAGTCAAATTTACATGCTGTATATGGGTTGTCAAGTCATTTTGAGGGATATAGCTGGTCATTATGAAGTATATAATGTACAGTACACTGTATAATGTGAAGCAGTGTGGAAAACATAACACATAACACAAGATATAAAGCATACCAGAATTGTGTATGTACTGTATTATACAGTAAGTCATGTATTGTGAATACTATAAACTATATAATGTTGGTTAAAGTATATGTAAACCCTAATGGCATCATGTCTCACTTTATACAGTGTCTCAAGCATATCTTTTGTGAATCAGTTGCATAGGACTCCCTTTTTGCACCCCAGCTATAACCATTCATTGTTTGGCACTGTTGCATCTGATCAGCTGTGAAAGCTCCTTTAGTTGGCCATTGGGCTGCCTAGTAGACACACAGCCCAATGGCCCACTAAAGGAGCCACCTCCAAAGGAGCCGCTTGTTAACTTTAGTCCTGACTCTTGAGCTGGATAAATGTTGGGGCCTTCTTGCATGCGTTAAAGCCATCAATAAGGCCTGTGGGCAGTATTAGGGCTGTGGGGTAGCTAGTAGCTATTTCCTAATGGCTCAGTTTCTAAAGGTGGTATCAAGTAATGGCTACAAGGCCTTCTCACCAGACCCAGCAACACAACAGCAGTGGTCTCTCCAATTGGGTATCGCTCACCCTGGGTGATGACTTTGGTAGATAGCGTTGTCCCTCAGTACTTGGGTCATGCTCTGTGCCTTCTGGCTGTCCCTCACACATCTGTTGGTTCAGCTGACAAGCTCTTTCTAGGTGGAGTTTCCTTGACGCAATCCTGTCACACTCTTGGACGATACCTGGACCTTACAGAGGTTGCACAGGCAGCCCAACTCCTCCAGGATGGCACATCAATACATGCCATTGCCAGAAGGTTTGCCGTGTCTCCCAGCACAGTCTCAAGAGCATGGAGGAGATTCCTGGAGACAGGAAGTTACTCTAGGAGAGCTGGAAAGGGCCATAGAAGGCCCTTAACCCATCAGCAAGAAGGTATCTGCTTTTTTGTGCAAGGAGGAACAGGATGAGAACTGCTAGAGTCCTACAGAATGACCTCCAGCAGGCCACTGGTGAGAATGTCTGTGAACAAACAATCAGAAACAGACTTCTTGAGGGTGGCCTGAGGGCCCAACAACCTCTAGTGGGCACTGTGCTGACTGCCCAACACCATAGAGCTTGATTGGCATTTGCCATTGAACACCAGAATTGGCAGGTCCGTCACTGGCGCCCTGTGCTTTTCACAGATGAGTGCAGGTTCACCCTGAGAACATGTGACAGACATGAAAGGGTCTGGAGAAGCCGTGGAGAATGTTATGCTGCCTGTAACATCGTTCAGTATGACCGTTTTGGTAGTGGTTCAGTGATGGTCTGGAGAGGCAAATCCATGGAGGGATACACAGAACTCTACTGGCTAGACAATGGCACACTGACTGCCATTAGGCATCAGGATCAAATCCTTGGACCCATTGTCAGACCCTACGCTGGTGCTGTGGGTCCTGGGTTCCTCCTGGTGCACAACAATGCCCGGCCTCATGTGGCAAGAGTATGCAGGCAGTTCCTGGAGGATGAAGGAATCGATACCATTGAATGACTCCCATGCTCGCCTGACCTAAATCCAATAGAACTCCTCTGGGATATCATGTTTCGGTCCATCCAACATCACCAGGTTGCACCTCAGACTGTCCAAGAGCTCAGTTATGCCCTGGTCCAGATATGGGAGGAAATACAAGCACGTGGAGCCATACAAACTACTGAGTACCATTTTGAGTTGCTGCAATGACATTTCAGCAACATGGACTACCCTGCTGCATCATTTTTTCACTTTGATTTTTGGGGTGTCTTTGAATCCAGTCCTCTGTAGGAGGATAATTTTCATTTCCATCAAATGATGGGGCATCCTTACATTCCAAACACATTACCCAGTCCATATCAGTATATCAGTATATATCCAGCATGATATTTTTCCCCATTGAGATCTGATTTGTCTTCAAAGTGTTCCTTTAATTTTTTCGAGCAGTGTATATATGTGTATATATATATATATATATATATATATATATATATACAAACTCAAACAATATGGGGACACTACACTCTATACAGTGTACTAAGCCAAAATCTAATACAAAAAATGCTCTGCCCCTTTACATAATAGTAGCAATCAAATCAAGTTAAATAATGTGACCTCAAGGATGAACACACAGTGTAATGACACTCAGTATATAAAGAAATACTAATACTGTAAGCCATCCATGGGACATGTGAACTACCTGTACTAGCAATCCATGGTGCAGACTTTTTGCCCTGGTTCACACTGCACAGCATTAGAAATGCACCCTGTTCATGTGAACCGCTGCGGGGTGTGTATGTTAAGATAACAACAACCTGAAAGCAGTCCGCAAAACACGGTGCGATGTGAAGAATTGGATCACATAGGTGTGAATACCCAATGCAATCTGATTCTAGTGCGGACCAAAAAAGGGTCCTGCACGTTTTTGTGTGGGTGCAGTGTGATTAGAACCATACAAAATGTATGGCTCAAATCGCACCGCACATAAATCGCATGTGATTTGCAAAGGAATGCGGTGCGGTTCCTGTGCGGATCACATGTGATATACCGCACCACATATATGGGAACCCAGGCTCAAACCTTCAGTGTTCCAACACTACAAATACACAGCGCCTATTTACCAAAAGATCTGACCTCAATGTTAAAGGATAAGATCACCTTAAAGAACATGTTACATGTTCCACCAATTTTTAGGATGTAACATGTAACATGTTCCTGCTACTGCAGCCTCCCCTCTGTTAATCTCCCCACCCCTGTGAGGCAAGGGATCTTCTAGCCGCACCCACTATCACAATTTGAAAAGAGCATGACCATGTGGGTCTCTTCTCACGAAGCTGTGTCATTCATTCACATTGTTTCACAGAGTTCTGTGAACCACTGTGTGAGCCACAAGTACTGACAGCCTTTGTTGCAGATGGCTTGTAGTTCTCAATGAACTACAAGGGTGCTGGTGAGCATCCTCATAATTTATTGATTGAACTTCCTGGACTGAAGTAACTACCTGCCCATACTGGAGGTATGAGCAGACAGCTACACTGACAGCCTGCAGGAGCCTGACATTGCACCCACGATCTGCTGAATGTGGGTGCAATGCCTCACAGGCTCCTAAAAAGAAAATGGCAAATTAGCTTTTTTTCACCTACAAAAAAAATGTGCATTTATTATTTTTACTATTTTTAAAAGGTGAACTTTTAAAAGATCAGTAGCACTTGTGTGCAGGATGGTGCTTTAAGACCACCAGGAAGCTTTTAATTGTCAGCTCTATGACACTCCAGCTTCACTCATATCCACAATAGCTTTAGATGTTGGGGTTTTTAGTGCAATAATCAACCAATAGTAGCAGAAGTAAGGCCCCAGGCAGCTTGACAGAGAACAAATAAGCTAGATCTTCTGATCATTATCTTTAAACTACTTCTTTATTAATTTGAAATGGATAATCTATGAAGATGTCTATTGTGACAAAATAAATCGGAAGGGTTCTTGGTGTTGAAGTCATAGCACATGTGTGCTCAATCAAGCAGTGTATTTTTAACCCTAAACTGTCCTACCCATATCTCTTGGGATTACATTTTCAAATTAATAACAAGGTGGTTTTAAAGATAATGCACTATAGCTTTTTTTGTTCTCCTTTATGCTGCCCGGGGCCTTACTGGTGCTACTTTTGGTGTAAGTTGGTTATTGCCTTAAAAGTACCAAACATCTAAGGCTGGTGCAGCTTTGAGTGATGCTGGAGTGTCATGAAGCTGATGATTTTCATTTAAAGGCACATAGAACTGTCCTGCACTCCAGCGCTACTGACTTCTTAACCTTGGGGTCATGTCTTTTTAGGTATTTAAGTGGTGTATATTTGTGGTGTTGGAACACTGAAAGTTTAAAGTCTGCACCATGGAATGCTGACACATGTAAATCACATGTCATATGGAGTGCTTACAATATTTGTTTTTGTTTATATACTGAGTGTCATTACATATTGTGTTGATGACTGAAACCATTGTGATTGATACTATTATAAGGGACAGTGCATCTATTTTGTATTACAATAGGGGTGTCAGGCATACAGAATTTAGGAATATATTGTCATCCTGTAGTTTCAGAGGTTTAGTTGGGTCAAGGAATGATACCAAATGGTGGATTGCATAGGTGTAGTAGTGCCAAAGAGGACCCCAGTAATACATGTCACTTCTGGAAAAATGTGGTCTGTGCGGTTTACATCCAAGGACTATTGTATGATCAGTCAGGTGTTGGTAATCTAACATATGGTAATCCTTAAATCTGATGTGTACTGTATACATCCATTAGGAAGGCTTAAACATTGGACAAGTTTATATTTATATTTTATTAATTGTCATTTATGTCTCAGATACAAACCATTCTTTTTATACTTTTTTATACTTTTACATCAAAATTATCTTTTTTATTTGTTAGAGCCCAGCAGTTATTTTTAGTTAAACTACAAAGATTAATGCACAGAACCAAGGATGATGTGGAAAGTACAAGTAACACACTCAGAGCTATGAAGGTAAATTCAGGTTTATTTCTGTTGCATATTCCAGTTAATCATTTTCAGAGATGAGAGCTATTTTTTATTATTTGTTCATAATATGGCATCTGGTTGGTTTCCCTTAAATAAAAATTCCAGGCATCGGGATAATTAGAGAACCAGTAAAACAATGAAAACATGTTTTTCACTCTGTTTCATAGTGAGCAATCCCTTTTCCATACTCTATTGTGTATGGACAAGGATTCAATGGGCACAGAGAGGGGAAAAAAAGTCTTGCTCACATTAGCGGGAATATGGGAGGTATATACAATGTACCGCTACCCCTCTTCCGATGAACTGGTAAACTCATTAACCATGATACAAATTAAAATGAAACTCCATGCAATTTGCCATTTATGTTTAAAAAGTTTAAGAGACTTTATTTTGTGAACTACTCCAACAACAGATCTGCCTTGCTATTTCATACAGTATCAAAATCCTGACAAATTCAAATAATATTTCTTGCTCATGGTCAGACCATAATATATTGCTATCAGCTTTCACTTAAAGCAGAACTAAATTTGCAGTGTGCTCCTTGTAGCATTATCCCTGCAGGAGCCACTTGTTAATTTGGGTTCACTGTTCTGCTCCTCAAATCCAAGAACAGCCTTATTCCCTGTGGCAAACCTGGCTGAATGAAAGTTACTGCAAGCATTTATAAGAACACGAGTAGAGATACCTTTAACTTGGCTGTGAATTAGCACCAGAATATAGACCATTTAGTGGTAAATGAACTCAATGTATTGGTGTGGGTTAGAATAAATGATGATCTGAGCATAAAAATAAACAAACAAAAGGTGTCTCAGACAGAATCTGCTGGACAGTATAATTATTATGCCAAGGTAACTTAGAACAGAATTCTGTGCCACAAGACTGTAATCAACGCATAGATCAGCAAAATAAGTCAGAAATAAACAGTGCATATTACTGAAGGTAGCTAGTTTGGGGTCCTATGCAGCCCTTGGTCACCTGGTTTATAGAGGCTCTAAATCCCCCTATTGCCTTACCTCCTCTATGCGGTCTGTCATTAACCGCTTCACACCTAAGGGTAAAACAAATCTAAACGCCTAGGCACAATCTTGCAACTTTGACATGTGTTAGTAAAACCATCCATATCATCACAACTACTTTGTACATCCAGGTGGATTATACCGCGTTTTTTTTCAGGACAAATTGGGCTTTCATTTGGTGGTAAATAGTAATGCACATCTCCTGATTTTTTTTTTATTATCAAAGGAAAATTGGCCCAAAATAGTAAAAAAAAAAATCATTTTTTTAAATTTAGCTGTGTGTTTCTTGTTACTACCATAGCCTACCACCAAAGAACAACCCAAAATAAATTTTCCAGCTCTTGGAAAATCGCAGCAATACCATATATGTGTATGTTATTTGTTGTTTAAAACCCAGAAACAATAGTGCGCATTTTGTTTTTTTTTTTGTTTGTTTTTTACCTAAAACACACTGACACTAACTGACACTGATACCAATTTTTTTTTAAAAAATCCTGACTTCTGACCCTGACCTTTGACCTTGACCTTTGACCCTGACCAGGAATGTCAAATATGCTTTTGTCAATATCTATTTGCCCCCACCCTTTTCCACTGAAGTACTGTATACAGTGCAGGAGAAGTTGGCACCCTTACAAGTTTCTGGGGTCGTTTTGGACAGAGATCAATGTGCCATTGTTGTCCTCTAACCCTCGGAGGACCTCCAGCCCTGACCTAGAAGTATGGGCTCATACCTTTGGTCTAACTGAATTATCGAGATTTAAACACCCTCACGATTGTTACTATTCATGCTTTTCAGCTCCTCATAGATCCGCTTCCCGGATAGATCTGGCGTTTGGATCCAGCCCTTTATATTGGGGCTGGTGAGTGTTGTCTCCTATCTGCCAGCAGTCATCTCAGACCACTCACCCTTAGAGCTCACTTTAAATTTGGGGGGTAAGAGACATTCGGGATGCTGGAGGTTGGATCCTAAATGGGTTCGTAATAGGAAAATCCAAGAGTTATTGTTTGACTCCCTAACCTAGTTTTGAGAAGTGAATGAAATTCATGTCTGTCTCCCCCCTTCTGGTGTGGGATACGTTTAAGGCTTATACACGGGGCCAGTATATTTCCACCATTAAAATAGCGAGGGAGGAATTTGCTATAGGTACCACTATGTTGGAACACAGCGAGACTGCAGCAGCCTCCGATTTTTCGAGATCTCCCACAGAGGACAACTGCGCTAAATTGGCCAAGGCTCATATGGATTTGGAGCTTCATTTTACATCTCTTGCTCACTCTAAAGTTTGTAAAAATCAGTGCCTGTAAATATCAGGGGCTGAATTTTGGCTTTATTTTCAATCACTTTATTGCCCCATCCCTCCACCGTCACCCTGCACTTTAGTGGACACTTTACAGAGCTTCTCTCTGCCGAGGTTATCGGATAAGGAAACGAGGGCTCTTTATAGAGAAATTTCTGTTTCTGAAATAGAATCTGTTATCTGTTCTTTCCCCCCGAACAAAATGCTTGGACCCGATGGGCTGCCAGGTGACTGGTATAAATTGCATGCCACAGATCGAGCACAGTATCTCTGTAGAGTCTTTAAAGAAAGATACACACAATGAGCCCTTCCACCCTCTATGCATCAAGCACATATTGTGCTGATACTGAAATCTGGCAAGGATCCCCAGCTCTGTTCCTCCTATAGACCATCTCACTTTTGAACTATGACCTCAAAATTTTGACCAAGGTCCTGGCGAAGAGATCAATGAAACTCCTCCCTTTGCTTGTCAGTATTGACCAGGCCGGGTTCATCCCAGGGAAATTGACAGATATTAGTGCAGTTTTAACACATATTCAAATCCCTTCATCCTCTCGTATTTTGGTGATGTTAGATGTGGAAAAAGTGTTTGACTCTGTTGATTGGACCTATATGTCTGCAATGCTGGACGTGATAGGATTTGGACAGTATTTCCATTCCTGGATAAATATTCTGTATAGTACTCCATTAGCACAAATAAAACTAGGAGGTGATCTTTCCGCACCCTTCCCTATAGGTAGGGGGACGAGTCAGGGATGCCCACTCTCTCCTGACCTCTTTGCATTGGTCATGGAACCCTTGGCACAAGCTATATGCACATCCACTAATATAAAGGGAATACAGGTGGGCTCTATTATTGAGGAAGTGGCACTATATGCTGATGACGTCTTATTCCTTCATGACCCAGGACTATCTCTTAAAGAGGCCCTGAATTTTATTTCCACCTTCTCCCCATTATCAGGCCTTAAGGCCAATCTCCCTCTCTCACCAATAGGTAAAATTAACCTTATAAAAATGAAATTACTTCCCGCCTTATTGTATATAGTCCGCCATACTATAGTTTGGAGTCCTTTGTGGGGCTCGAGACAACCTAGATTTAAACTAAGTGTGCTACAGAGACCATGGACCAAAAGGGGGCTGGCTTGTCCAGATTTGTATACTTATTATATTGCAGCATTGCTCTCCCATGCTCACAATTGGATAGTGGAGGACAAGACTAATGCCGCTGTGGTTTTGGAGGCAGCTCCCCTTGGGTCCTATGAAGCCTTACGTAATCTTCTATATAGAGGGGCTTTGGCCCCCTTTCCTGTCACAATGTCCATGAGGGCACTCATTAAAGCCTGGCATCAGTAATTTCCTCCACACACTCAAATTGGTCCCCTCACACCCCTCTATGGTTGAATCCCTCCTTGTTAGAATTCTTCCTCCTCCTGAAACCCTCAGTTTGGGCCTCTAGGGGTGTCAAGTATTTACAACAGATATGTGAGGGGGGTGCCCTTAGAATTTTTGACTCCTTGAAAGCCCAATATGCCCTTCCTAATTTATATTTATTCCGGTACCTCAAATTACGCCACACCTTTCAACAGCAGTTTCATGGTCAACCCCTTCAGTTTGTAGACTCCGGTTTTGAATTTCTACTGAGAGATGCCTCCCTTGTTAAACCCATCTCCTCTCTATATGTGGCCTTACGGCCGTCTTTTCATTAGGGCCTTGACAGACTTATCTCCACTTTGCGTGGGGAGGTGTCGGAGCTAGACTCAGAGGATTGGGAGGAAATATGGGAATATCCTATAATGCAGAGCATAGGGATTTTCTGCTACTCTGCTATCTCTCTGTTGTGTTTCAGAGATGGGAAGTGATGGGAAAACTCCCAAATGGATCTCAGAGAGCAAAGTAAAATGGGGGTTCAATACATCATTTACACTAGAACTCAATATAATCATGTTTTACAAGAGAAACTTGCTTTCTCAGAATGGTTACAAGCAGGGGACTGACCATTTGGAAACTCGGGCACTGCCCGAGGGCCCCGGGTCAGTAGGGGGCCCCATGAGATGCCCCTGGTACCTTTTTCATAGGCTTTTTTGAGTTTGGGCAAGGACACAGGGGCCCCATGATCCCCTATTGCCCGGGGGCCCCATGAGTTGTCAGTCCGCCCCTGGTTACAAGGCTTCATAGCTGTGATCCAAAATTGAATAATGATCCATTGACCCCCAGGAACTACCAACCAATCTCTTTAGAAAAGATGGAGCTCACTATACTCACTCTTATATTGGGTAATCCTGCATACAAATTCCTCACCCCCTGGTTTACAAGAATCATGGAGGGTTTAGTATATTTCACTAGCAACCCTCAACAACAATAAATAATTAATAACTCTAATTCACCACTTAAATACAAATAAACTACCTTTACCTGTCTTTGCCCTACATGTAGAACATGTATTCAAAAGCCTGTTTTGACCCTTTATACTAGCATTCAGAACACATTTGTTTTCTCAGGAACATTCATGCAAGCCACAAAATGTCTAAACTCCAGCATTTCTGAATTACCTGCATCTCAACCTTCCCCTTAACTGTTCAATGGAGTTCAAGGCAGAGGTGTTCACTTTCAGCAGCACTCTTTTTCAAAAACATTGACATTACGGAAATTACAGTTGCTAGCAATATATATA